ATGGGCCTCCAATACTAAATTGAGCTATGAATGAGAATCTTTTGGGCTTATTATGTCATTGGCTACAATGAATTAATAATTGGCCCTGTCCATGGATCCAATTCAATTAATTCATAAATTAATTTCTAATCACTAAAAATTGAACTCCAATTAAATAATAAATAACTTTTAAGTCAATGTTGCACTTTGACTCCTCTACACGTAATTAGTTATCGGATAAATAAAGCAATCAATTCGACTACTTAATTAATATATTTATTTTGGTACATTTGATTATTTCCGCCTTTATCACAATAAAACATTTATTTGAAAAATATAATAATTTAAATAAATAAATATATAGAAATTCATTTTGTCTAAAGACCTTCGAATTTAATTTGTGATAAAACATAATCAGTACAAAATAAATACAAGTAGCAATGACGCAAATATTAAAATATAACCTTCTAACTATTAATTACATAATTATCCAAAGTGTTAGTCTATGTATTGTGAAGAATCCGTCGAACAAATCAAAGTAATTAATAATTAATAAAAGAGTCTATATTTCTCTCATGCTTAAGAGTCAAATGCCGTGATAGTAATAGGGAGCACTTGGATGTGACGACTCTCGCAATATATCTCAACCTAATGCGGATCCAGTACAAGTCTCAGTTAATAATGAGTCCATCCATAATTACCGACTATGAACTATTTATGATTACTATTTATATTCATGTATTGACCGCCATCACATACATATATAAATATCTCTTATAATCAAGTGGACACTATCAATTCCATAATGAATCGAAACATAAAACATTGAATTCACCAATTGTATAAAGCATAAATATTTCAAATATCTTAGAAACATATGTCACTTTAATCCAATTAGAAATTCGCTATGCCAAGGCATATAAATCCCAACAAGTCCAACGTCCAAATCCTTTAACAACGAACTAAGCTGCAACTCTGATTAATAAGCAAAGTGTGGACACTAGTTTCTCTCTCTTGGCCTTTTACACATATAAAACTTTATACGTGTTGTTTCATTCGTGTACATAATTGATGGAATATATACACATTTATAAAGATAGAGAGAGAACCCGTTTTTCTTATTAGTAACCCTAATTCCACTTTTCATCAAAATAAGGAACAAGAAACGAAAACACTTCCCCAATAAGTAAATACCAAAAAGGTAATTATAAGTTGACTAAAAGTAAATAATAAATAATTGATATATATCTACTTAGCCATCAAGTAATATGTCACATGTCCAAATTATGTGGACCATAATTAAATAAATAATCTAACAGGCGAATCCAACCACAATGTTTAGTTAGATTCCGAGTTCTTATTTTTTGCCTTTCTCATGTCTTGTTGGCATCAAATGTCAAGATTTTCGCATTTATTTCATTTGCCACTTTATCTTGGTCTCTACCTAGTCACTTTAATTGAGCCACTTTAGCTATACAAAAAGGGCAGGTTGTTATAATCTGAATGCTATAAACTATTGATAAAGTCATCCAACCAAAGTTGTTTTTATTTTATTTATTTTTATTTTATTTATTCGTGTGTGGCTTAATCAAAATACTTTCCTTTATGCTTGAAAGATTTTTTCAGAATGAGAATAGTTAAACAGAGAAGTTGTTTGTCATGAAGGGTGTGTAGTTGCCTGTCTTGAAAACATCTATTGACACACCCCCATATGTGGCCTTCTATTGGTGATAAAGTCATCCAACCAAAGTTGTTGTTGTTTTTTATTTATTTATTTTTATTTATTTTTTTATTCGTGTGTGGCTTAATCAAAATACTTTCCTTTATGCTTGAAAGATTTTTTCAGGATGAGAATAGTTAAACAGAGAAGTTGTTTGTCATGAAGGGTGTGTAGTTGCTTGTCTTGAAAACATCTATTGACACACCCCTATATGTGGCCTTCTATTGGTCCAACAAATGTTTCAATTTTAATTATTATGGTAGAAAAGCTCTCTAAGTAGAAAATGAGACTAAATCTGCTAGAGTATGTGTTATGAAAAAAGGATCGAATAAGAGTTTTGAAAACAAAAGGAAAAATTAATAACAAGAAATTAAAATGGCACACACACAAACGAGATAAGAATTTACGTGGTTCGGTTATGCCTATATTCACGGGGAGAAGACAGAACAATATTTCACTATAGAAATAAAGAGATACAAGGCAAAGTTGCTCACACCCAAAATTCAATTACACCCAAAATCTCTCACTCTCTGACTGATATTTCAAACTTATTTTGATGATCTTGGATGCTTCAAACTATGGAGGGCAAGGGCAATTTATAGCCAAAATAGGACACCAAAATGAGGCTGCTTGGTGACCACTCAAAAGACTTGCTAGGCACACATTCTTGGAGGCCAAGAATCTTGATGACATCATAGGTGATGCAAGCCTCAAATTGAGCCATATGTTCAACAAATCTCCACCTTAGCGAAAATTCAAATGAGCCACTGTATCTTTACTAAACAAACTGTTTTCTCCACAAAATAAATTAATTAAGAATTTTAGTTAAGTTTGAGTCATCCTCAAACTTAACCATTAGGCTCTCATTCTTCAACTTATGCATGTCTTGCGTTGCCACAAACATACATCTAGTATTTCTGTCAAACTCTAAGTGCTTACCAAAAACATCATCATAAACTCTAAGTTTGACATCTCTTTCAGCAACTTTCTCCAACTGCCCATAAACCACCGGCTGGTAATGAAAAGTCATCTTCTCACCCTTATAGAGAATAGGACGTCCTTGACTTTTCCTCACATCTCTGTTGTGACCAATTACTTGCCTCCCACGTATCTTAATGGCACTCAAATGGACTATCTCATTGCCACCAAGATTATTACAAGTCAATATCACACCTGTCCTCATGGGTCTGCCTCCCTGTAAGGACTACTGCAATTTCGGTTGCCATCTGAAAACGGATTTCATTCTCCCACCACGTTGTGTAGTCCCCTCACAACCCTTTTGAGAACTAGGATCGTAACTTCTCTTTCTAACTCTTCTATTACCAAGACCCGAACGCAGATTTCTGTTAATTATAGAAGACCCTGTAGAAGCTCCACCTGTTACTATATTCCCTTGGAGAAGATACAATTTTTCACCTTGGTGCCCTGTAGCACCATAAGAGAATCCATTATGACCATCATTGCTCCACCTTCTGTTACAACCTTGTAACCTTTGGAGTCTAGCACTCCTACTTAAATAAGATTCATCTTCAGATCCGATACATGTCGCATATCTGACAATGTTCTCACCAACCTATTGTGCGTCTTGATCTTGACTATTCCAAATCCCAAAATTTTGAAAGCTTTCCTGTTCGTCGTCAAAATTGAACCACCTTTCACCTCTTTATAAGAAAAGAAAAAATCCTTACTGGACACATATGAACGGAACAACTAGAATCAAGAATCCAACTGTCATTAAATGACATACCTGAACACAAGGTTGTCATGATAACATAATCGTCATTATCCGAATCACTCGTTGTAGTAGGTGCCATAGAAGTTGCTTCTTAAACCTTCTCCTTGCCATTCCCATTCTTTGCCTTTAGTTTGGGACAGTGCTTGATGATGTGCTCTATCTCGTGACAGTAGTAACATTCCACATTTTTATGAGATCTATATTTGCCCCTGGAAACCTTGTCTCACATTTGCCTCTTACAAATAGAGCCTTGGCCTGTTCACCTTTTTTCTTAACTCTTGAGAGTTCAGTGAGGATTTAACATCCTCTATACTAATGGTGTCTTTTCCATAGAGCAATGTAGTAACAAAATGCTCATAGGAAGGAGGCAAAGAACACAACAAAATAAAGCCTTGATCTTCTTCATCAATTTTAATATCAATATTTTTTAAATCCATAATAATAGAATTGAAATTATCAACATGATCCTTAAGAGGTACACCTTTCTTCATACGAAGGGTGTAGAGTCTCTATTTCAGGAAAATTATGTTGGTGAGAGACTTTGTCATGTACACAATCTCCAATTTCAGCAACAACTTTGCCTCCATGTCTTCATCAATAACTTCGCGTAGCACCTCATCAGCTAGATTCAAAATAATCGCACTGCGCGTCTTTTCATCGACCTCATCTTTGTCTTTATCGGACAGAGTTGTTGGCAACTTGTCCTTCCCGAACAACACCTTCTTTAGACCTTGCTGAGTTAGCAGGGCCTACATCTTAATGCGCCAAAGATTAAAACTAATCTTGCCATCAAATTTCTCAATCTCGTATCTGGTCGACATCTCAAAAAAAAAAACTCCCCAAAAAATTTCTCGGTGAATAGTACCATATTTGTGAACAGTACCATACGACACGAACCCGAGCTCTGATACCAGTTAGTTATGAAAAAAAGGATCGAATAGGAGTTTTAAAAACAAAAGGGAAAATTAATGTCAATAAATTAAAATGGCACACACACAAATGAGACAAGAATTTACGTGGTTCGACTATACCTACATCCATGGGGAGAAGACAGAACAATATTTCACTATGGAAATAAATAGATACAAGGCAAAGTGGCTCACACCCATAATCTAATTACACCTAAAATCTCTCTCTCTAATTGATATTTCAAACTCATTTTGATGATCTTGGATGCTTCAAACTATGGAGGGCAAAGGTTATTTATGGCCAATATGGGACACCAAAATAAGGCTACTTGGTGACCACTCAAAAGACTTGCTAGGCACACATTCTTGGAGGCCAAGAATCTTGATGACATCATGGGTGATGCAAGCCTCAAATTGAACCATATGTTCAACAGTATGATAGAAAGATACAGTATGTACTATAATTAGAAAAGGAAAAAACTTCTAGGTGAAGATTCTTTTTTAAGACCTGAGAAGATTGTGGTGCTAATAACATCAATGATTATCAGGAGAGTCTCATAACAAATAAGCAACTAACTAACCCAGCCTTAGGATGCCAGACAGTTATTTGAATGATGACAGTTATCTAGTTGCATCTATAACGTTTTTGATCTTGTAGGTATGGAAACTAAGAATGAAGACATTGAGTTACCATTTTTTGATCTGGACACTATTGCAAATGCCACTGAGAACTTCTGTTCCACAAATATGATTGGAGAGGGTGGTTTTGGTCCTGTTTATAAGGTTAAATAAGTAATATTTGGTTTAATATGTAATTAAAAAAAGTGAACCCTTATTTTAACATTGCTATTCAAAAACTTGTAGGGTAAGCTAGCAACGGGACAAGAAATAGCAGTCAAGAGGCTTTCGAATAATTCTGGACAAGGCCTACAAGAGTTCACAAATGAAGCTATTTTGATTTCCAAACTTCAACACCGAAATCTTGTTAAACTGTTGGGCTGTTGCATTGAAGGAGAAGAGATGATGCTAATATATGAGTTCATGCCGAATAAAAGCTTGGACTATTTCATTTTTGGTCTAGTTCTCTTCACCCTTTATCTTATTAGACCAATTTCATGGTGCAGTTTATGCATTTATGCAGCAGAGTCCTTTGCCATATAAAAAAAATAATAATAAAAAAAATAATAATAATAATAAAAAAAACAAACTGATGTAGAACTTACATGGATGGAAATGTTATGCAGATCAGAATAGAAGACTAGAACTTCCATGGCAAAAGCGATTTGAAATTGCTAAGGGTGTATCAAGGGGACTTCTCTACCTTCACCAGGACTCGAGATTAAGAATCATTCATAGGGATCTCAAAGCCAGTAACATTTTACTAGATGATGAACTAAGTCCCAGGATTTCAGACTTTGGGACAGCAAGAAGTTTTGGGAGAGATGAAATTGAAGCCAAAACAAAGCGAGTAATCGGAACATAGTAAGTTTTGTAAACAAATTTCACATAGTACTTGTTTATCATTTTCAAATGCTTAAATTTGATAATTTTATGCAGTGGTTACATGTCACCGGAGTATGCCATTGATGGAAAATTTTCAGTAAAATCTGATGTCTTTAGCTTAGGTGTACTTTTACTGGAGATAGTAAGTGGTAAAAGGAATTGGAAATTTCATCATCCCGATCATTATCATTCGCTTTTGGGACATGTATGGTGAAATGTATTCTGTTTTATTTTATTTCTCTCTCCAACTTCTTATGTGAAATACTAAATTTGAGAATTGTGATTGTTACAGGCTTGGTTGTTGTGGAATGATCATAAAGCCCTGGAATTTGTGGATTCATGTTTGGAAAATTCATACATTGAATCTCAAGTACTAGGATGTATTCAAGTGGGTCTATTGTGTGTTCAGAAAATGCCAAAAGACAGACCAACCATGTCATCGGTAGTTTTCATGTTGGGTAATGAGGGGGTGGCATTGCCTGAACCCAAACAGCCTGGTTTCTTTGTCGAAAGAAGTTCCATAGATGCAGAGACATCAAGAGGTGAGAGTAGTCATTCTAGAAATTCCTTGACAATATCAACAATGGAAGCTAGATAGAAGTAGTTCCTAGTGCGTACTGTTGTAGTGATGGAGTTGATGCATATCAAGACGAAAAAAAGAGATTGTATATGGGTTTCATGTCCAAAACTGATGACATGCACTTATTGATTGAGGTCTTCTTTGACACTGATTTTACAAGCAATTTGTGTGTCATGTCCACTATTGGTGGACAGAGTTGTTGAATGCTAAAAAAAGTGAATGCAGAAGAGTATAGTTTTATCTCTATATATTGTCCACAGTAAAAAGAAAAATAGATTAGACTAATTCACGGCATCAGTAGTACATGGCACATTTGTAATTTAATTTTAAATTTTCTCTCTTTTTTCTTACTTTTTCTTGCATCATCAACAAACAAAATTATTGATAAATACATTTACAATAATGAAACAAATCAAGAAAGAATTGCTAAAAGAAATAAAACTACAATTCACTTCATTTCCACTATAAAAAAGTCACTTTATAATATTAGTAATAATAATAAAAATTCACAGATTTTTTGTGACTTACCCTCCTTGGCGCTCTAGGTATCAAATTGTCAATCGGGTTGTATAAATGTATCGCCATGCTATTAAGTATTTTGATTTAAGTTGTTTTCTTTCTAAGAGGTGGAATAGTTCTCGAAGACATTTTTCTTTGAGAAATTGGCTGGAGATTTCAATTTAATTGTGAGAATCAAATCACCAGCTCAAATAAAAGAATGTGAAAATCACATCACTCCTCATCCCAAGAGACAATACAACACTATGCCAGTGAAGGCATACATACACACACTATGCATTTCTTTTAAGTATTTGGACATAAGCAGCTTCATGACTAACGTTTAAAAGATTTTCTTACTAGATTTTTGAGATACAGATGCTCATCTTCAATGATAATTATGATTTGTGTTTGTTAAAAAAAAAAAAAAAATTATGATTTGTGATAAAAAATAACTTTCCTTTTTGCGGTCATATTGTTTGGTCAATGATATTAAATGCCAAGTTAATTGTAAGACTGCAAAAATTAGAGCATGATCATAATGTGAATCATATGGAGTTTTAGTTTTGTTTGGTCACTGATCTTAAATGTCAAGATAATTATATGATTGCAAAAATTAGAGCATGATCATAATGTGAATCATATGGGAATTTAATTTGTTACCAGTGACTCAATAGTTCTAATTCACCAAGTTAATCATATTATTAGAAATATTAGAGCATGACCATAATGTGAATCGCATGGTGAATTAATAGGCCCGTGACATGAAGCTATGAAATGGGATACTCCTAATATCCTCCAGATTTGACTTAGCACTTCCCATCAGTGACTGCTCTTTTCATTGACTGCTTTTGCCATAGCTTAATTAGGCCTCACTTTCCACAACAATATCCTCTTAGGGCATGTTTGGTGTGGTGGAATAAATTGGAATGGAATGAGAATGGAGGTGGAAATAGAATGAGAAGAAAATGAAATGGGAATGATGATTCTTAATGATTCTTATTCTATCGTTTGGTTACAAACATGGAATGTGTAAAAATGGAATGCTCATTCTCATTCTTGCGTTTGGTAAGAAAGTCGAAATTGAATGAATTTATATTGTTTCTTTAAATTACATTTTATTATTAGTAAAAAAAATTAACTAAAAAAATTAACATCTGCAAAAATAAAAGGGAGAAGAGATAATAGAGAGAGATAATAGAGAGAGAAAATAGACGACATAGATAGAGAAAATAGATGAGAAAAAAGGAACAAAGGGGCAAGAAGAGGCGATCGAGAGAAATAGGTGATCGAACAAAGAAGAGGCGTCGCCGCTAGAGAATATGTATCCGGCAGTGGTGTTTCTAATTGAGGCCATGAGACCACCGATCATATAGCAGCAAATCACAGATGAAGGTACAATGTACCAAGACAAACACAATGGTTGGGAGGAGTACCACGAGGATAACTATTCAATAATGAAGAAGCTTCTCCCGAAATTCCACGAGGATAAAAAATAAGGTCAGGTTTTTATTTTTATTTTTTTATAATTATTATTTATATATTAGGTAAATACTCTCTCTCTCACACACACAAATGTTCACTGTGGAGTTAAATTCCTCACATCCCATTTGAGGGAGAAGTGTCATCAAGTTCATCAATCATTATATAGCAATTTATACACGCAGCTCATTCAAGTAGCTTTATTTGTACTAATTACAAGATAAAAAAAGAGGTGATATTCGTACTCCAATAAAGGTTTCTGTAATCTACTTCCTCTTGTACGGGTAGAAGGTACACAACCATCTTTCTCCAATCCTTCATGTGAATATTACAATTCTTGTTTATCACATATATATATTTTTTGATATTGAATCTTCTGTCTTTGTTAACGGTCCATTAATACAATAATCAGAAAGGAAAAAAAAAAAAAAAAAATCAATCTTAACATGATGCTCCAACAGACAATAATCCATTGCGGGGTTTTAAATATGAACTTAAACATTGAAATAAGCTTCTGTGAAGCTAGGATAATATGAACCCAAACAGCCTGGTTTTTTTTGTGGAGAGAAGTTCAATTGATTCAGATTCATCAACGGATGAGAGAAGTCATAGTGCAAATGCATTGACAATAATAATAATGGAAGCCAAATAAAAGTAGCATAAAAGTAGCGCCTATTGCATAATGTTGTTGTAGTGATGGAGTTGATTCATATCAAAAAAAATAAAATAAAATACGTGGATTGTTTTATTTTTAAAATCAATTTTTCTGAAAATTTAGCTTTGACTGCTATTCACCCATTGTAAAGAACTGGACAATGAGAAGTGGATGGGGTTGAGATATTCTTCAATTTTGCTGACTATTCAACTGTATTAATTTTTTAAATTTATTTTAAAGTTAAAAATTAAAGTTAACTTTGTGTCTGGATTATGAACCTACCCTTCTGAAAATCTGATGGAACTAAACCTAGGCAGGAAAAGGAAAAAAAAAAAAAAAAAAATCCCTAGGCAGGAATTAGTTGACAAATTTACTGCAGGTTAAAATTTAATTGCGCTAATTAAATCACTCGCTCGAATGAATGTCTTTGAATCTTCCTGGAGTATGTTTAGAAGAATGTGAAAATCATATCACTCCTCATCCCAAGAGACAATCTAACACAAACATTTCTTTAAAGTATTTTGGCATAAGTATCTTCAAAAGCAGTACTAATTAAATATTTCAAAAAAAAATCATGCTAGATTTTTGGAGAACAATTGTATTAATTACTATAACTTAATTATAATTAAGATAAAGTAAGCAAATTAAGTATATAGGAAAAGGTAAATGAAAATTTAAAGAGATGCTTAATTTTCCTCTGAAAAAATTCTCCAATTAATTGACAAATTTGGTGCCGTGCTTATGATGCCAGTAAGACCTGAGAAGGTATTGGGTGCGCTCGACACATCATGCCGCATATGAAACACTTCATTTCCACATTAATGAATGTTTAAAGGATTAGCTAGCCATAAGGTGTGTGTACACACACACACACACACACACATATAACTCAATTAGCGACTGATGTCATCTCACTAGGATCTTTTACGCTCACAATTTTTGAAAAAATCCTCCAAATTGATAAGATCAGTACCGCGCTTATGATGCCATTAAGACCTGAGAAGGTATTGGGTGCGCTCGGCACATCGTGCCCCATAAGAAGCACTTCATTTCCACTTTAATGAATGTTTAAAGGATTAGCTAGCCATAAGGTGTGTGTGTGTGTGTGTGTGTGTATAACTCAATTAGCTATTGATGTCATCCCACTACGATTTTTTACCCTTACAGTTTTTGAAAAAATCCTCTAAATTGACAAATTTGGTGTCGTGCTTATGATGCCATTAAGACCTAAAAAAGTATTGGGTGTGCTAGGCAAATCGTGTAATGTCCCGGATTTTCTAGAATTTTTTTTTTTTGAATTTTTATTTTAATTATTTTTTGTGCATCATTTTGCATGCCACACAGGCCCCGAGGGTCGTTTCGGTCATTTTTCGAATCAAGGGTTTTAGAAATGCATTTTTTTTTTTTTTTTACGTATTTATGTCAATTAGAGTTGATGGAACCATTTTTAGAATTTTTAGAAAGTTGAGAAGACTTTCGGGCTTGGGAACTTCTCCTGATTTTTTCATTTTAAGTGAGGGGTGGTGTTGGCATTTTACACGCACATAAATATATGTAAGTATACATTAAGGTAGATGTTTTGGGGACTTGATGGGTATTGGAAAAGAAGGGTGAGGTCAAGGTAGTAACTTAACAAAAAGTTAGTAACCACCAAAGCTTGACAAGTGGCTTAAGGAGGATCATTCACCCATTTGGAAGACAAAACCATCTCCTCCTTTCCTTCCCATTTTTGTCACTTTGCTCTCTCTCTCTCTCTCTCTCTCTCTCTCTCTCTCTCTCTAACTATTCTCCTTCTCTCTCTATATATCTATACACATATATGCCTACAATGTCTTCCATGCTTCAAGGTTGGATTTGAGAAGGTTAGGGTGAAATTTTGATGAAGTCATAGGAGGAGAAGTTGATCGAAAAGCATGGCAAAGGCCTCATTTTGACACCAATGTTGCATAGGCTAGGAGAATTTCTAAAATTGGCTAGGCTTATGGGCTTGTTTGGCTTGCACCATTGAGGTAGGGGTTTCCTAATGCTTTATAATTTGCTTTTCTTTGAGTAATCTTCCATAGTTTCACTTTAATTTCAGTCTTGAATGACAAATAAGAGAATAAGTTGATGGTTATATGATGATGTGTTTTAAGCATGCTATGTGTGATGAAAAAAATGTTTTCCATGCTAATTAAGACATGTTGTTACTTGCATGTAAAGATAGTTAATGTGTGAAGATAGTATGATTAAAATGATGTGAAATTTTATGACGAACATGCTTGTGGTTGATTTCTAGGCCATGCTATGGGTTTATTTTTTGGAGGATGCCATGTTTGTAATTGATTTATGAAAATGTTATGCTTGTGCTTAATTATAAGAGAATATCATGTTTATTCCATTA